GATCCCGACCCTGACGCCTGCTGTATATTTGGAGTTTGCATGTTCTCTCTCCCCATTGTTGCGCGAATTTTTTCTCCGGATCCTCCGGATTTTCCCTCCACATTGGGAAACACGCGTTTAGACTATGTGGCTGCTCCTATAAAATTGTACACGATAAGCCACTCTGTTGAGTTATAATGTGTGACCAGGTCACTTCGGAAAACAAGATATAAATTGCTCAGTGGGCCTTACCTGCTAAAATTAAACATCGTTTATTTTGCATTACCAAATCATGTGTTTGATTGTTATGATGGCACTTCATCGCGATTTGTGTTGCTTATTTATTTATGCGTTTATTTGTCCAGGAAAGTCTCGCCGAGTCGAAAGACTCCTTCGCGTAGAGAGTCCCGCTACGTTCGGATGTTTTGGCCATGTCATGGCTTGCAATGAGTGTTTTGTTTTCCGTGTTGGGATGAGGCCGGATAGGCACGGAGAAAATCCCACCACGCGTAACGAGGATATAATGCTCAAAGCTCCGCACAGATAGATTTTAAAAAATGCATTGCTACGATGCCATCTTATGGCTACCGTTACTGCCATTACACAAACGAATGCGTGGGGTTATTTGAGGTCCGGGGCTGTGTCGGGGTGGTTTTGCATTCGTCTGCGCGGACATTGCTCTCGACGGGTCACCGCTTCGATCTACCCACGCGGCAATGGAAACAATGAAACGAGTAACCGGCTTCTGAACACCCAGCGGACATACACGAGTGGCGTGCGGTGGAGACAGAGCGTGGCTGTTTCCAGGTCTTCTCCCAATACGTGTGGCCAGCGTGGTGGTAGACTGGGCCAAATGTCGCCTGTAGAGTGAGAGAGACCTCCAGAGTTCCCTGCAAGCGGGGGTCCTTCCACCAACAGTGGCCTGAGCAAGCAATTGCAGTGGCTGCACCTGTTTTACCATTTTAATGCGGCTCTCTTTTTTTTTGTCATTGGACCGGTCATGTCACTCGTCACCTAAGCAGGTGTCAAGGCAAGCTCCACTTTGGACAGCAGGCTAAGCCATATAGAGCTATAGAGAGCTTCCCGCAGACAGACACACACACAGAGATATATATATGCGTAATGTAGGTTGCCCGTAATTGCGTGTGTAAATATATCCATCGCGTCGGGAGCAGAGAGCGAGGAGCGCTATTTAAAGCGCCCTTGACTTAACTCCGCGCTCTTTAAACCCGCAGCAAACGCTCATTTGATGTGAGTGGCGGCTATTTTAAAGAAACGAGGTCATAAGAGAATATATATTTATATAGGACGAATATCCTAGCATGCTCTTTTAGAGACTGTTGGGACAAGTGCTGTCAGCGAGCGCCTACTAAGAAGCAGGTTGTGACCAGCACCACTCCTGGCCGCCTTGTCTGGCTAAATACACACCAGAGCGCACGAACATCCAAGGACAAAGCGACTCCCCGTTTATGGCCTTTCAAACATAATGTTTGGGGGCAAGTGCTTTGAGCGAGCACCTATGGAAGGCCGGAACGGAGCACCTGTGACGGGGGTGGGTGACCGATGGCACCATCACGTCCGAGTCATTTTTCTCTAAACAGTACGCATTTGAGGCTGAGTCAACCTCGCGGGGGAAGAGGGGGGGGGCGGTGATGGGGAGGCCCAGAATGGGTTATTGGACACGAGCGGCAAGGCCAACCCACGAAGGTTAATTCGTTCTCGCCGAATTCTCGCGCCGTGGTTACTCTCCCGCAATTAAAGCAAGAGTCTCAATTTGGCGAGTGCACAATCACGCCCCCCCCCCCCCCATAGCGAGAAGACAGCAGTGCCCAGCAGCGTGGGTTTGCTGGAGATAAATATACATCGGCGAGGCGTGTGGTAGAACACGCTTGGAATTAAAACGCCGGGGGGGGGGGGGGTGGACACTTTGATTAGAGAAACATCCTCGCGTTAAAGAAGACACCGGGACTTCAGTCATACTGGTAAGAGAAGTCAGCGGTGCTTGGGCAAGACATGGTGCGAAAAGGAATGCAGGCCGAGGGTAGGGAATGATTACGGAGCGGCAGCCAAGGAATGGAGCGCATCCGGCCGAGGTGACGGGGCAAAGTGCGGGCGTCAAGTGTGAAGACCGCTGCAAAGTATGATCTTGTGTTTTGATGATAGTGTGCTGATCTTTAAAGGTGCATTGAAAATTGTTGATATTCCTAATGATACTCCTGCTGTTATGGAGCGACTCATGCAGCCAGATATGGCTGCAAAGTTTGGTAGTACATGTTATTTATATAGTTGTTGCTAAATTTCAATCACAGTACCTATGATCACTGTTACATTGTTTTAATAGCTTTATTTTGGTGATTTCGAAAACGTTTTGGTTTAGCCATATTTGTTTGTTGTAAAGCAGAGTTAGGCAGATAACTTTGATCTAAATTGTATATGGTTGTTAATGTTTGACTTGCATCCCACTGGGATTTTTGCACACATGATTGATATACGGTGCTTTTTCTGGAAGACTTTGCTGTTTTTTTACTGGATGTTTCTGTTGCGCGTAGTCACTTTAGGATGTTTCTTGTTCATGTTTTTGTTTGTTGCGGTTGCACCCGATTCAAGAGCCGAATGGCTCAAGGGGCTATACCTAATAAATGAAACTGAAACTGAAACATTGCAGAACGGGGAGAGACGGCGACGGCTTGGGGAGGTCTCCATCCAGCAGTGGATTGATCCTGGCTGTTGCTGCTGTTGTCCATGTTCAATCGAGGTGTGCCGAGAGGTGACCAAGGGAAGCATTCTGCCGTCGCAACACCGCTCTACACACACCTCTCCGTACATTCGTGCGAACGCGTGACATCCAGACATGCATTGTATTATTATTATTTTATTATTATGCGATCGGAGCAGAAATGAAGGAATTCGGAATAAGGCTAACAGTCGGGTCGACGCGAAGAATTATTTCGTGTCTCGTGACTCCAAATTGCTTGACCTCTCCTCGCACTCTTTTTTTCTGTGTTGCATGCGCGTGGGCGCGCGTGCGGCCCGTGCAATGTCCGCATTTAGGAACGTACACGTGGGAGTCGAACTCCTGTGGCCCGGTCCGTGGCACAGTGCTGCACTAACCGCTACAAAGACAAAGACACCCCCACCCCCGTATAGCCTTAACGGACTGTTGGGGCAAGTGCTGTTAGCGAGCACCTATGAAGGCCGCCAAGGAACACGAGGTGGTGGGTGGCCAACACCACACTAACCGCTACACTACCGCTCTCCCACACTAACCGCTACACTACCGCACGCACGCGCACACCTGGGTGATGCTCGCTCACGGCCAACACCGGTGACCCGGTTACTGGACCGATACTGGGCCTGCCCTAGTTTTACTCAGCCTCAAATGAGCACGTGGTCCAATGTGTAACCGCCCGTCGCTGGGGACACAAAGGTGGCCGGCCGTGATTCTGGCCACCCAGCACTTCGTGTGCTGCACTGGCCTTCACAGATGCTCGCTACCAACACTTGTCCCAACAGCCTGTGAAGGCTAGACGGAGGGGGGGGGGGGGGGGAGTGATGGTGCAGTGGTTGGCGAACTGCGCTGCTAGGAACCTGGTGGCCAGAATTCGATTGCCAACCGTGGCTGAAACATCAATGACGAGTGACATGAGAAAGGGTGCTTGAGCATCCACTTAGGTCGACGCAGCTTTAGGGGCCGTCCATAAATGACGTCACGCACCTAAGGGGGAGTTCATGACATTTGTGACGATGTGTGACGAGGGGGGGGGGGTGGTTGAGAAATGTGACGTCACGTGAAAATGCGCAACTTGAAATAAATATAGACAACACGTTCTACTTAATTAAAGAGACGTTTTCATAAATGTTTTCTCCGACAACATCAGAGTGCAGCGCCACATTAAATACGCACTACAATGACAATAGTCTAAAGCGATTTGAAGCATGTTTTATTTTTTGGGGGGCGGGGGGGCAGAACTTTGTGACGTCATATTTGAGGGGGGGTCTGACTTTTTGTGACGTCGTGTGACGACGGGGAGGGGGGGGGGGTAAAAAATCGTCCAAAATCGCGAGACGTCATTTATGGACGGCACCCTTAAATGAGTGTCTGGGCAAACCAAGCGGGCGTTTGTCGCCACACCTGCCTGCATGCGTGCCGTAGCGACCTACATAGAATCTCGCTAACATCACTGGCCCTCTGCACGGGTGATCGTTTCCTGTGTATGCAACCCTTTGCATGAAGGCAGCTTAAATACGTGCATGGTGGGGGTGTGTAAAACTTCAAGATTGCTGGAGACGAAAGCAATCACCCCGGAGTGTTTTGTCGGCCACAGCACCCCGTCTCTGCATGCGGCTTTCCCACCCCAATAGGTGCTCGATACACACCCACGGCACCCTAATGAGTGTGTTAAAGGCTACACAAGGAGCGGTGGGGAGAGCGGTGAGCGCTGTGGGCTTGCGTGCCCTCGCCGCGCGCGTCTCGCGCATTTACTGACGCACGCGAAACTCTTTTCAATTACATCCGCTCTCGGCAGGCGGCGACCTCGCACGAGGCAGCGGAATGATCATCATCAGCAGCAGCAGCAGCACCCCCACAAGCAGCCGTCGCAGCCAGCTTGCCAATACCCCACCGGGGGGAGGCACCGCCGCCAGCCAGCAAGACGCACGGCCAATGGGATGTGAGCAGAGGCGGGGCCAACGACATTCCAACGTTTGAAAAAAAAAAATCACGGCCGGTCTTCTCCGGGGCGTGGTTGAGTTGAAGAGTTTGGCCAATCGCGGCGTCCTCCGCGTGGGTTGTTACACGTCGCGAGGGGGGGTGAGGTGTGGGGTGGGGGGGATGGAGGTGGTGGGTGGGGGGGGCGTGGGTCGGGGTGGGTGGCGCCTCGCGAACAATTTTCGCGGATTTTCTCGGAAGGGCTTTTGGTGGTGGTGGTGGTGGGGGGGGGTGGGCGCTTCGTCGGTGGGTGTGCTCTGTGAGTTGTGGTGGGGTGGTGAGAGAGAGAGAGCGAGAGAGAGGAAGAGAGAGAGAGAGGGCGAGTCTGAGTGTGTGTGGCGAGCAGCGTGCGAGGAGAGAGGAGGGGCGCTCCACGCGAATCGCTCGTTTCCCGAAGAGATCTCCCAATTAAAAGGATGTCTTCTCGCGCGCGTCCGACCTCTCCCGTCGCTGGCTGAGCAGATCAGGCGCAAGTTTTAGTGTAGAATAGTCATCAACGTCATCATCGGCAGGAGCATCGGCATCCCAGTTTCTCTCCTCTCTTACTCAGCTTCCCTGGCCAGCCATACACTCAATCATCGCGAAGCATTTGTCATTGCCTCGAGCTTCTCGATAAACCGCGAGTGTAGAAAGCCGTGGGATTACGGGTAAGGCAGCGTGCTGGAGTTTTGTGGCGAGCACGTAGAGTGGTTAACGCTGCGCGCTTTCATATACAAGACGAAATTGCGAACATCGTTAAAGACACGGGACATCTCATACAAAAAACTTCATTCGCTCTTGGATTTTCGTTAAAAAAAATACAATCACGGGAGCCCGAGAGAGAAAGCAAGGAGAGAGTGAGAGGGACACGAGAAAGGAGAAGGGACAGTAGGAAGAAAATTCGGGACTACATTTGCTTTGACGCGAGGAGCTGTGATGAATACTCCAAGACTCTGGCTGCGCGCACGTGGCAATGATGATGTGACGGAGAGCTGCGAGAAGACTCGACTCCCCTCGTTCGCGTTCACCCGGCTCGCACCGGGAGCTATCGTCATCGCGGGCACCTTTTAAGCACTCCAAGAAATTCAATTGCATCTGATTCTCTCTTGACTTTTTACCCGATTCGATACGTGTGTCATTTGTTGCTGACCTTGTTGTTGTTGTTGTTGCGTCCTTGGCAATTCCGACAAAAAGGCTTTTTTGGGGGATTTTAAAGAAGAACCAAGCGAAAAAAAAGAAACGAGACACAAGGAGGCGTTGTGATGAGTTGGAGACATCAATCAGTCTTCTCTCGGCTGGACATAACGATTTTGTGAGACGTCTGATCGATTATTAGTTTTTTTATATTAAAGGCAACGCGCTGCGGTGGGGGCGAATGGGAGAAGGATAAAGAAGAGCAAAAGAAAGAGGTGGTGAATAGCGAAGGAGTCCCCGCGTGGCTCCAAACAGACACCAGGGACGCAAGCTCCGACCGGCGCTTGAGTCCCGTTGCAACTCACTCGCTCCGTTCGCTCTGCTGCTCGATTCTCTCTCTCTCCGTCCCCGCTCTCCCTGCCTCTCGCCTCCTCCTCTCGCCGCCCTCGGGATCTCCCCTCTCTCTTCACTTGGCATCCAGCGAGAGCCCCGCACGGCGCAGAGCTAAGCGGCACACGCAGCGAAACGGAGACGCACCAATGTCAGCGTGCGCGCTCGCGTCTCTCTCTCTGCGTGAGTGCGAGTAAATATATCTATATACGAGCTATTGGCAAGGCTGTGCGTGCACGCAAAGGGCAAGCGAGGCAGCTTGCCGGGTGAGGTAGGGGAGGCGTGCGTGGCGGTGGTGGTGGGGGGGGGAGGGAGTATAGACTTCGCGAGCAGCGCTGGATTTTTTTGAGTTTGCGACCGAGAGAGCTGGGGGCATCGGAGACGCCGAGGAGGTAAAGGACTGAGCCGCGCCAAGGACTGGAAGATCTGAATCGAAGGGATTGAGCCGACCGGAAGGTGATTCATTTGATCCGGTAGGCAGCTGGAGAACTATAGCCGCTTGTAGCTGCAGGATTTGAGCCGGCGAAGGGGGGTGAAGGATTGAGCCGGTGGGAGAGCAGGCGTGGGAAGGCGGCCGGCTCTGCGTTCGCCCGACGGGAAGAGCCATCATGCGTCGTCTTGGGGGAAATGCCGGCGCCCTTCTGCACCTCCTCCTCGCGGCGCTGCTGGGAGCCGCGGAGGCTGACGGTGAGTGCGCGGCGTTCGTGCGCGTGAGTGTTGTGACACCACCACCACCATCACCCCAGAAACAGCGGTGGTCGCTGAGATTCTTGCGAGATCTCTCCACCACTGGGCGGGAGGGTGGGGGGGGGTCCGCGCCTTAATAGTAATTGCATCGGCGAGTGGTGTGACGGATATTGCGTCTCGTCCGTCGTGACGAAGCGTTGGGCTTGTGAACTTCACGTGCAGCTGGGGGCATCAAAACTGCTGTCGATGAATTTCGGTCACGCGCGTGTGCGTGTGTGTGTGCGTGTTTGTGCGTGTGTTAGTGCTCCTACTTGTGAGTGTGTGTGCGTGTTTGTGCGTATGTCAGTGCTCCTACTTGTGTCTGTGTGTGCACATTGGCGTGCGTGGAGCTTGGTATCGTTATCGAGCAAATGTGTGTTCTGCTGGTGTGTGTGTTCAAACGTCAAGACGCTTGCGTACGTGTCTGTGTGCGCTTGCGCGCGTGTGTGTGTTTGTGTTTGTATGGAGCGGTAGTGTAGCGATTAGCTCGCTTGCGCTACGACGTCGGCGACCAGAGTTCGATTCCCGCTCACGGCCAACGCCAGTGACGATTATCTTAAGCGGTCCTGGGCATCCCCTAGGTCGGCTCAGCCTCAAATGAGTACTTGGTTCGGTGTATAAACATCGCCCCTGGGGAGACAAAGGCGGTCGGGCGTTGTGTTGGCAACCCACTGCTTCGTGTGCCGTGCCAGCCCTCATAGGTGCTCGATAAATGCACTTGCCACAACAGTCTATTAAGGCTATGTGGGGGATCTTTGTATGTACGCGTGTATCTGCGGCATGCCCCATTTGCCGTGTGGTTAATGCGGCTGGCTGTGTGTGTACGCGTGTGTTCACGTCCTCGTCTCTGTGTCTGAATGCCTGTGTTTGTGAGCGTGTCTCTGTCTGCTGCAGCTCCTTATTTAAGTGTGCGTGTGTGCGCGCGTGTGTTTATGCGTACGTGCGTGCTTATGCGCACTTCCAGTGAGTCTACATGTATGTGCGTGTGTGCATCACGCTCACTGGCTGCTTGTTGCTGATCGCTGTGCAAGTGCACGTGTGTGTGTGTGTGCGTGTGTAATGCTGAGCATGCATCTGGTTAATGCGTTTGCTTCTTCGTGTGTGCGCTTATGAGTTGTGTGTAGGTGGGTACACGTGTGTGTGTGCGCGTATGTCCGTGTGAGTACATGTGTATCCGCACGCATGTGTCTGTCTGTATTTGCACGTGCGTGTCTGTGCGGGTGTCTCTGTGTGTATGTGTATGCGTATCGATGTGTGAACATGCGCATGTGTCTTTACGTACGTGCGCGCGCGCTCGTTTGTGTACGTATGTCTGTATGTATGTAGGTGTGTAAGTGCGCGTGTGTTTGTCCGTGTGCGATCATTTCTCTCTCTCTCTCGGTGTCTGCACGTATGTGATGTACATATGTGCGTGCGTATATCCGTATGCATGTACACGTGTCTGTACGAATGCATGTGTTCCAGTGTGTGCATTAAGCTCCCTTCCCTGTGTGATCGTTGCCCGCTACGTGAACGTGTGCGAATGCACGTGTACACGTGTGCACGCGTGTGTGTCTGCATGTATGTGCGCGCGTGTGTGTCTGTCTGTACACATGAGCGCGTATGGATGGTTGATCCAGCGTGCGTATTTTGCGTGCGTGCCTCTGTCGATGCACTCGCGCGTGTGCTTCTGGGGGTACACGCACCTGCGTATGTATGTGTGAACACGTGTGTGTCTGTGTACGCGTATGCAACGGGTCCGCGTGCGTTCGTGCGCACGTGTCGCGTCTGCACGTCCATGCGTACGCGCGTAAGATTCGTGATGCGAACCCCCTGTCCGCCTTCTCACACCCCCTACCCGCCGCACCTCCCCCGGTATCGCCTCTTCCCCCACTCCCATCCTCACCGCCACAGACGCGCTCTCGCACGAATATCCACAACCCTGAGTATGTGTAGTGGCTCAGTTTCCTTTGATGCTCAGGTATAGGGTGGGTGGGGGGGAGGATAAGAAACAATTACGATAGACGGGGGGGGGCTAACATCGCCTGCGTCGCTCAGTCGCTCTTCGTCTCCGTGAAAAGAATGAGCGCTGAGTCGCCTATAAATCGGCAGGGAGTCATCCCTCGTCGCACCATCCCCCCCCCCCCCCGCTCACACCGTCCGCTGATGGGAGCCGTGCAGTGGCACCCGCGCGCCTAAGCGATTTCGGCGCAGACAGTAGCCGCCGCGGTTGGCTGTGATGGAAGCAGCCGAGGCGCTGCCTCGTCCCAAATGCACAATGACCTTCACGCACTCCGCCCGCTGCTGCTGCTGCTGCACTAACACTGCACATTAGCGCCTCGCTGCACGCGCTTGCGCCGGCGAGCACAAGGCAGAGGCTGTCCTTGCGGCTAGGCGGAGCCTCTTGTCCGCGTCTGATCGATTGTCTTGTCCGCGTCTGATCGATTGTCTCGTCGGACTGTCTGACCGATGTCGGCGGCTTGTCTGTCTGATTTATTGTCCTGGCTGATAGACCATCGTGTCTGTCCCACGATCTGTTTGACTGATTCATCGACGTGTCTTGTTATGTCTACGTGAGCATTTTGTCTGTCTCTCTGAATCACTGTCTTGTTCTATCTCTCAGTTTGATTGTCTGTCTCTCAGACTGTCGGCTTGTTTTGCGCGTTTGAATAATTGTCTCCACAGCCTGTGCATTTGACGGTCCGTCTTTCTGTATCACTGCCTGGCTAGCTATCTAGTTGACTGTCTATCTGGATCTCTTTGACTGCCTGAGTGTGTTCGTCTGTTTCACTGGTTGTCCATTCGTCTGTGTGTCTATTTGAATATCTGAGTATCTCTCTCCACCTGACTGCCATTCTATATGACTCCCTATCGAGCTGTGTCTTTTCATTACAGTTTGTCAAATTCACCACCAATCCGTGTCTGGTTGACTGTCCGTCTTGTCTGTCTCTCGGTCTTTCATCCATCTGTGCGGCCGTCTGCATATTCAAGCTTCTGTCTCTCTGTCTGAATATGTGCCTGTCGGTTTGGTCTATCTGACCCCCCGCCCCCTTCCTGTCTTCCCGCGTGCCTGTCTGCCCGACTCTCTGTCTATCTCTCCGTCGCAACGAATATGCCAATGCGACGAAGCGAGCTCTCGTGTCTTTCCCACAGCGCGATATCCACACGTCGCCGATTTTGGCCCGCCGTTCCAGCGCGCCGCGTCCCATCATTAACCCCTTTGCACCGCCCTCACCCTTCACGGCAAAATGAATGGACACACACACACATCCTGTATCCGAAGCGTTCCAGTCAGCTCGCGCTCTGAGAGCGCTCACACTCACGTGCGTGTGTGTGTATGTTTAAAAATATATATGATCTATAGCATCTATTCTAATCACGCGTATTCTACGCATAACTGAATTACAGGGAGTGGTTGTCGATATCACTCTTTTGTTCGGATTATCAAACGCACCCCTCCACCCCCCTCGTAAATCATAGCAAAAGGTGGTGGCGCGTCTTATAATCCAGTTGCTGTGTGCGTGCCAGAGGCCAGATTTGTATGACTTCATTGACAAGCGGGCACATTCATTTCTGGGGTGCGTCTTACTTTCCGGAGCGTCTTATAATCCGGTGAATACGGCAAATAATGCGTATTAATCTGCTGGTAAAGTCAAGTGTAAATGTTTATTGGGAGGCATCGTGTTGGCTCACGATGTCGCGACTTGAGACCTGAGCTCACGTTGCCCCTGAGTGCGCGCACGGGCGATGCATAGCGTGAGTCTTAGTGCCAAAGGAATAAATTAAACATTTAACCAGCATACACAATAACGTGGACCAAATATTTGCATTGCCATTTTCGGTAGCTCCACATGTACGCGCTGATATGAATCCACGAGCCTATCACTGGCGTCCCGCACCAATATCATCGAGCTGCGTGCGTACAATTAAGCAAGCGACCTATTGACCCGCTTTGACCTGTTGGGTCTCATCGGCAGTGTCGGGCGTGTTAGGCAAATTGCCGCTAGATTAGTTGAACGGTCGTGGTCGCTACGCACGCGGCCTGAAATCCAGCACTGTAGAGGCAGCGAGGGCTGGTGGATGACCCAACATGTTTGTGAAACTCTCAGCCCGTGGGCGTCGATGAGGTGCCTTGTCCTTGCTCGCCAGGAGACAACTAATTTCTTGAGAAGTGATTGTTTTGTGTGTGTAGTGTGTTGGGCACCTCTGATTAGCACAGTTGGCTATGTACTGTACGAAATAAGTTCAACGTTCATATGGTCATACACGTACACAGCAAATATGTGGAATATACCTGTTCCATCTCCGTGAGTTAAAGGTGTTGGCCCACTCGCATTGAGCGGGCTTTCTCCATGAGCTCGGCTTACCTCCAACCAGGGTTGCGATTTCCGCATGGAAAATGCGGAAGGAGGGTTCAAATTTTCCCGCATTTTTGCTAAAGTCAACCGCAAACGGTGGAAAGACTACTCCTATGACCGCGCGCTTTTAACAACACGTTAATGCGTTCTATTGGAAAGGATACATCATGTACATGTGCTCGTAATCACGGCTCCGCATTTGAATAAAGTATGTGGTTCTTGTGCGGAAATGCGGAAATCATATATTCATTCCAATCAGTAACTCAAAGCCCTACGTGATGCTGGGCCTTGCATGTATCCTTTCCAATAGAACGCATTAACGTGTTGTTAAAAGCGCGCGGTCATAGGAGTAGTCTTTCCACCGTTTGCGGTTGACTTTAGCAAAAATGCGGGAAAATTTGAACCCTCCTTCCGCATTTTCCATGCGGAAATCGCAACCCTGCCTCCAACACGTACGAACGCCCAATCGAGTGGCTAAGATCATCTCAATATGCAGAGAACCGCAGAGCTTGGGCAATTGTTAGTTCTGGCTCACCTCGTGACGGCGACCTTTCCCGTTTGTCTGTGGCTCCTCGCTGCCTCTGAATCGTCCCGTCTCTCACGAGGTGGAGCGAACACTGTGCG